ACTCCGGTAAAAAAGAACTCCGGCGAAAGAAAGAGAAAAGATAAAATAGTCATTTTAATTTATGTGAATAATGATTCGTGACATTTTTTTAAAGATTTTTGAATAAATAATATTTTTTGAACATTTTTTTTAAACAAATGGTATTTTTACCAATTTTCTCAATAAAGAAATCACGTATTTCATCACATATCATTTAAACAAATAGTATAATACTATCTAAACTAGAATTAAAAAAAAAAATTGTTAAAAACACGTATAAATTCATATTCTGTTGCAAAAATTACATACAATTAATTTTTTTTTTGTATAATATCATCTGTTATAAAACAATAAGTAAATAATATTCCGTTATGTTGTAAACAAAATCATCCGTTATGTTGTAAAAAAATGTAATTTTTTGCTTTTCTGAGCCTTTTGGTTTGGTGTTTTTTTACAAATTCCGATGTCGAAGATAAGACAGATTTATACGGTCAGGCCACGTCAGAGACACGAGTAACTGAGCATCGAAGATCGAACTATTAGTCATGACGTCACGACCTTCTCGGTCAGCATTGCACATCATGTTGTTTCTTCCTCTTGAATATAAACTACACATCGTTTTGAAACTGCCTCTCTCATAAACACAGCGTGTCGAATCTCTTAATTCATTCGAAACACCATGCCGTTATTAAAACCATATAACGTGACACAAAACGAATGGTTTACGATTTCATCAAAAAGCCAGAACCATACCAGAAAGCGAGATGTTATGGAATATGGGATTCGTTTTATTTTTGGGTCGACAATTTTGCTATGGATTCGTTTCGTTTAAGACAAAAACAATACTAATTATAATTGTAATTGATTACAGCTAATAAGATAAAAATATAATCGTAAACTAAAGCAATTAAAAAATGGAAATGATTCTACAACAAGTTGAAGCTTTACCAATCCGTTGGCTATCACTCGCGTACGTCTTCTGATAATTATAATAGGTTGAAATCAATTTGGTTCACGTGATGAAAAAAGAAGAAAGTTGGGTGGAGAATTTTTACTCTCGAACATAACATTGTTAACTTTTATTATGTTAATCTAATCTTCAAATTAATAATAAGCCACATTTTAAGCTCTTACATTTTGGTTCAACTGTTTTAAAAATTTGTTTATATATCATTCTTCGCCAACACCATAGCCGATCATACTTTTAGCTCAAGCGTGGCTAATTTTCTCATTTTCTACCGTCGTTATAAATATATTTGTTATGACTTGTAATTATAATAATGTTCCTTGTTTATTTTTCCAGTCAAATTGGGAATTGAATTCTGGTGGATGTGGTTTACTTAGCTCTGGTTACAGCTAAAAATATTTGTAGTTTATAGGTGAAAGATTACCAAAGAAGATTAGGATATTTTCTTATGAAAAGAGGCCTATTAGATATTAATTTATAGCTTGTAGTTGTTGGATATATTCCACAATTAAGAAGCAAGAAGAACTCTTGTTGTCTTGTTAAATTTTTTGAGTCTTTTTATTCTCCAACAGATTCGTTTTCACTTCTCTTTTTGACTGTGTGCTCTTCTCTTCTCCAACTTTTTTTTTTGTTTGTTTTTATACAATAATAAAGTATTGCATCCCCACCAAATAATAGATTTGTTTTTTATACTTAAATCTATAAAGTAAATCATTTTGGCGTATCATTTGCAACTTTAGTCATCTCTATGCTAATGTGAAACCGATTATTTACTTTTAATATATACACTATTACTACAAAGTACAAACCCGAACATTATTTTCCAAAGTCGTGCGTATAACATATTACAAATTGCTGTTGGAGTTTGGAAATAATTCTTCAAATGCTTACAAGAGCTACAATCACTGAATCTAAATTTTGACCGATTAACTATAACATGTACGAGTCATTCAAATCATATATACAAAATCGATAAATATCTTAGTTCAAATTAGAATTATATTCCTATAATGTGTATGCTTATAATTCCATTCTAATAATATTGATCGCTCATATGTATAATTAATTCTTCTTTGGAAAAATAGAGTGTGAGGGGTGGTTTAATTGAGAATGTGGTGATTAACATAAAAAGTGTTTTGGGACATAAATAAAGTCGCCTTAGTTAGGCAAGAGCTCCTAATATTGGTGGAGAAAGAAAAGTAGAAGAAAGTTAGAGTATGTATGAATTTCATAACAATAGAAGAAAATTCCATTTTAACTAAAAACAAATAATAAACAATTTCTTTTGGTTCCAAAAGAATTCTATTAAAGGGAGGTTGAAGAAAGTGTGAGAGACAAAAAAAAAAGAAACAAAACAGTGAACTTGGATGCCTAACCAATGCTTTTGTTTTTAGGGTCAATTGTAACCAACACATTACATGAGATTTTGCAATATCTCCACCACCATCGATCTGATTGTGTTACGACAGTCCACGTGTCTCCATCTCATGCCGTTTGATCTCCATTAAGATTAACGTATAATAATATATCCCGATTACTATATGATGTGCCTTCACTATTATAAACTTATATTTGAATTTAATGTTTTATGAAACAATTGTAGTTTATTAAGAACTTACATTGTTTCTTGGATCGATACGCAAAAATTTCAAATATATTTTTTTATTATTAATTTTGCGAACGATTTGAGGATTCGTGATAAAACATTTAGAAAATCTCACGTTCTTGATATCAAACTTGTTTTGTTTATATGCATTTTTAAAAGACATACACCCAATCCAAATGGACCAAATAAAAGATCAAAGAAAACTTAATGTGTTTAAATAATTTAAACAGTTTAAAATTAATTCTACACTAATTAAAGCTGGAAAGTCTGAAACTATATCGAATTATTTTTGTTTTTGGTCAAACCTATATCGAATTAATCAATATCCGATGTCTTTACTAAAATTATTGGAAACGTTTTAGCACACTATAGACTTGTGTTACTGCATGCATGCATTAATGAAAACTTAATCAAGATTAATCTTATATAATATTTTAAAGTTTTTTTAAAAATAGAGGTCTGAGAAGCTGTCACATGTCCCATATATCCCATATATTTTTGACATATGTCATTATCTTTTATTTTCAATGAAAACCTATATAATATTGTTTTGTTTTATAACCTTAAGATAACTACAAAAACGTTTATAAAATTAAATACTTATGAATAACTACATCAAATAAATCATTTTTAAAATAAAACTGAAAATATATTTTCAAAGTTATTAGTTATAATCTAATTTTATGATCCTTTTATTTTGTAAATAGATTTTAATATGTAGTCATTTGGCTAAAATATAAATTCAATTGAATATTAGTGGATTATAAATATAGTAAAAGCTAATTCAATAAACTCAATAACATTCTCAATATTTTCAAGGAAAAACACAATCTCTTTCTCTACATTTAGGTTCAAACATTTGAGTTGTATATACGTTTCTTATGTCTTTTTCATGATTGAAATATATTGGACTCTAACAAAAAAAAATGATATCTTATTATAATCATCGAATTCGTTAATATTTCATTTCTTTTTTAATTATTTTGGATCATAAGTTAGTAAACAATAATAATCTCTGACACAATAATCAATTCAAAAAAGAAACAAATATTATGAATTTTATTTGTCCACACCAATATCGAAGTAGTTGAAAATCACTTTATATTTTCATTTCCATGCATTATAGATAAATGAACAATTAATTTTAATTTCAAGACAAATAATATTCTGTATTTACAAAAAAAAAATTGATTGTTCAAAC